TGCCTAACACCCTACCCTCTGGGGCCCTGGCCTTCCTGCAGGTGGGCAGCCGTCGAGTTGTGCAGTATGGTGCAGGCATCATGCTAGTCCTGGGTGTCATCGGCAAGTTCACAGCCCTCTTTGCCTCACTCCCAGACCCCATCCTGGGAGGAATGTTTTGCACCCTTTTTGGTGAGTGTCTGATGCCTGCCCAAGGGGAGTGGTGGGACCCATCTAGGCAGGCTGCATCTCTATTGGTTCTGCTGTGGAAGGGGGGGGTACCCCCCGGGGGCCGGACTGTCCAATCTGCAGTTTGTAGACATGAACTCCTCCCGCAACCTCTTTGTATTGGGATTCTCTATGTTCTTTGGCCTCATGCTGCCCAATTACCTGGATTCCAATCCAGGTGCTATCAACACAGGTACCTTTTGTTCTCTGTCTTGATAGAGATGGGGGAAAGTGGGATGATCTCTCAAAACTCTTACACATGTGGGTTGGAAAACAATTTACTACAGCACATCCCTAGCACCTGTAATGAGGCTAGATTACAAGCATGAGCTTAGTTACTTAGCAAGTGTTATATGTGCTCATTTAATGTTCCCAATGGTTCCATGAAATCCTATTACTACCTGTTTTTCAGAGGAACAAGAGTTCACAGGGCATAATTATTATCCAAAGTCTGTCCCCAGAGATGGGAGAGACGGGTACAGATATGCTTGAAGGTCAGGGCCTTGGAATATTTCATGGCCATGATATCGTCTAAGTCAGTAGACCACACAGGCGGGAAGTCCCTTGACTTCTGCCTTCTAGAAAAGGACACTAGCCCATTGGCCCTTGACTTATTCCACAGGCATTCCTGAAGTGGATCAGATCCTAACTGTGCTGCTGACCACGGAGATGTTTGTTGGCGGGTGCCTTGCTTTCATACTGGACAACACAGTGCCAGGTACTGGGTCAGTGCTGCTCCGGAGGGAAATGTAGAAGCAGGCTAGACTTTTATGTACAATAGGCAGCTTGGTTCCTGAGGCGTTATGGCTAAACCTGATGCCGTGCAGGCCAACGAGCAGCAGGGACAGATGGGCTGGTGGAGTGTCGAGCCTGAGGGAATGACATATTTCCCAGATCTTTAAAAGGGTGAGGTCTTTAGAGTTACTTCTGGGTTTTGGGAGTTCCTCACCAATTCTTTATAGCCACCAGCCTAAAAGTAACTTTATTTTTACAGAGTTGCACAGGTGAAAATGCAGCATTGGTTTGTGGGAAAAAAATCTACTACCAATGTTAGCAGCCTGCTACACAAATAGAGGAGACCCCAAAATGAACCTTTGCTTGCCCAAGTTTTTGCAGGGAATGTGGAAATGTGACAGCCCAGTATGCATATGGCCAGTAAATATAGTTTAAAAACTGCTGTCATGAGATCCAAAAGGCAGCCAACATCCACAATGAGTCACGAATGGAGAGTATCACGTCATTCTCAAAACCTGACAGGCTGGGCTCTATCAGCAGTGAAGCACTTGCTAAGCATTCGTGAAGCCCTAGATTTAATCCCCAGTGTTGAAACAAACAATGTCATAAAGGGACATTAGACCGAAAATCGACAGTCAAAAGCTTGTTTCCCAGCCATGGAACCTGTGCAGACAGGTTTTGGAAACTGGGTGGATAAAGCTCAATGAAGACTGGTCATTAACCATGTTTTGCAGTTCGCACTGGCTTAATCTTGACATTTTCTTTGTCTTGACATTATTGGCATATATCACTATACCTGACACTATACCTCAGAGGAAGAGTCAAATGTAGTTTAGAAAAAGCTGATGGAATTTACCAGCTTGGCCCCAAGTCAAACTGAGGATGATGTGCAAAACTGTTTGTTTTGAGGAGTTCCTGACACAAAATGGGACATAAAACTGGTATTAAGCCAGTGGTGGTGGCACAGACCTTTAATCCCAGACCTTGGGAGGCAGAGGCAGGCAGATCTCTGTGAGTTCAAGGCCTACAGAGCTAGTTCCAAGGACAACAGAGAACCCCTGTCTAGAAAACAAAAGCATCCTTACTCCATCATACAATCTAGACACACTATTTGGATCCTGTGAACCCAGCACACACCAACCCTATATTCAGATAGAGTAAAATTTAAGATTTTTTTAAATTTTTAGTTTTTGGAGACAGGGCTGCCTTGGTTGTTCTGGAACTCTTCTCTGCAGACCAGGCTGGCCTCAAACTCACAGAGATCTACCTGCTTCTGTTGAGATTAAAGGCATGTGCCACCACGGCCTGGCTCAGACAAAGAGTATTGTACTCTTAGCCTATTTCTTCTCAAAAACAAAACCCCCTAAAACAAAAAATCTAGCTGTAGACCAGGCTGGCCTCAAATTCCCAAGTGCTGGGATTACAGATGTGTGCCACCACCTCCCGACTCTTCTCAAAATTTTGTGTAACAGTGCCTACATACATCCCTGGGGTGTTCTGACACAATGAAATTATTGAGCAGTGCTTGATGCTGTAGCTATACAGCATTAATCTTTTTAAAAAATTGTATTGCATTTGCAATATATCGTACATTTTATGTGCATTGGTGTTTTGCCTGCATGTCTGTCTGTGTGAGGGTAGCAGACAGGTGAGGGTTGCCATGTGGGTGTTGGGATTGAACCTGGCTCTTCTGGGAGAGGAGTCAGTGCTACTGACTTCACCACTGTATCATCTCTCCAGCCCCATGTACTAGAGTCTTTTATAGTTTCTCAGAGTATAATCTTTCAGGGTTTTTCAGCTCTGGCAACTAAAGGCATCCAGGGTGGTAGAGTGCTTATCTAACATACAAAACTGCCTTGGGCTCCATTCTAGCAAAGCAAATTTAGCAACACTTGATTCTAGAAGTATGCTTAGGACTGGTTGTATGAAGGAGAGGTAGTACAGGGTTGCTACCCTCCTAAATGACCTCACTGTCCTGCAGGGAGCCCAGAGGAAAGAGGCCTGATACAGTGGAAAGCTGGAGCCCACACCAACAGTGAGACATCAGCGAGTGTGAAGAGTTACGATTTCCCCTTTGGGATGGGCATAGTAAAAAGGACTGCCTTTTTCAGATACATTCCTATCTGCCCAGTCTTCAGAGGGTTTTCTAAAAAGTCAAAAACTCAGCCTCCAGTTGTAGAAGACACTCCAAACAATACAGAAACTGAGTCTGTGTGCACCAAGGTCTGAAACTATGAAAGGTAGGATGTTATGGCTCTTGTGGAAGGTTGAATAATCAAACAACTGTTTCAACAAAAAAGAAAATGAATTGCTTACATTTTTGTAATCTGTTTCTAGTTTCAAGGGGAGAATAGGCTAGATAAAAAGTTGTGTGTGGGTTTTGGGTGGAATTCCTTAGCCATGTTACAGTGAGAGCAGAAATTCCCAACTGTTGTGGGCCACCAATGGTTTCAAGTAAGTTGAAATATTAATCCTACCAGACACAAGCAGAATCTAGGCCAACTAGAGTCTGTAAGTAGTCACTGCCAGTCTCTATCTTTGAATTCTTGTATACTATACGCATTTTTTCAGTCTCTCAAGTACTGGCATTAATGGCATAAACCACCATGATCAGCTCACCTCCTCTCAATTCATGGCCCTCTCTCTCAAAATGTAAGGATTAAAACAAACGTTATGTATCTGAGTGTTTTGCCTGCAAGTATGTGTATACCATGCACATGTCTGGTCCCTGCAACTGGAGTTATGGATAGTTATGAACCATGTGGTGGGTGCTGGGAATCAATCAAACCTGGGTCCTCTTGCCAGAGCAACAAGTGCTCCTACCCACTGAACAATCTCTCCAGCTCCTCAAAGGCAGGAATTTTACAAGTGTACATCACTACACCTAAATAATGTTTGGCATGGAAAAAGTTCAAACGCTAAAACATTAAACAGGAAAAATCCTTCCACATATACAACTTTGCTTCAGTGTTAGTGGTTATAAAACTAAAATAATTTTCAATTACTTCAGTACCATAAATCTGCTACTACAAGCCCATAGGGGATGATCCTTTGTCTTTAGGGTTCAAAATGTGTGGATACTTTGGAATCCTAATTTTGCCTAAAATGTAGACACCTGGCTCTGGCTAATTCAAATGCTTTCTCCCCCAAACAAGCAACATTCCAATGAAAGTTGTGAGTGGTAGCTTATGGCAGCAGAGGCAGGAGGCACATGAGATTTGAGGTTAGCTTGTAGTACATTTGATTCTGAGCAGTTAGGAAACAAAGGGATTATGGACCCCCAAAGAACAAGTGTCAAACATGACTTTTTTTCCCAGAGGTTTTTAGAGAACTTGCCTGCTGCCAGGTGTGGTGGCACACACATTTCATCCCAGCACTTGGGAGGCAGATGCAGGCAGACCTCTGAATCCAGCTTGGCCTATACTGCGAGCTCCAGGATAGCCAGGGCTATATAATAAGACCTTGTCTCAAAAACAAAACCAACAAAAACCAAAACCAATAACCACCTTCTCTCCCAGAGGACCCTGGTTCAATTCCTGGCATCCATACAGCAGCTCACAACTGTCTGTAACTCCAGTTCCAGAAGCTCCGATGCTGTGCTCTTCTGGCCTCTATGGTCACCAGGCTTGAAAGTGATACCCAGAAACACCTGCAGACCCCACCACCACCACCAAGAAAAGAAAATTGGGGCTGGAGAGATGGCTCAGCAGTAAAGAGCCCTGGCTGCCCTGCTTTTCCAGAGGTCCGAGTTCAATTTCCAGCATCCACATATGGCTCACAACTGTTAAAACTGTAGTCTTATAGGATCTAATATTCTTCTGGTATGTAGATATGCATGCAGACAAAAATATCAATCTATATCAAGTAAATAAATAAATAAATGCAACATTTGTAGTCTCAAAATGCTGAGAAAAAGAAAATCAAAGCCAGGCTTGGTGGTGCATGCCAGATCTCTGTGAGTCTGAGGCCAGCCTGGTCTACAAAATTGAGATCCAGGACAGCCAGGGCTACACAGAGGATCCCTGTCTTGGAAAAACCAAAAAGTCCCTCAGTTGGGTTGAAGATGTAGACAGATGACCAGTTAACAGTGGTTGATTACCATGTAGAAAATAGTTCCTAAGTCCAACCTCCAGCATCACAAACGAAACAGAACAAAAAACCTCAGAGTTTTCCACAGGAATGTGAGCCAGAAATAATCACACAGGAGAGCAAGGTAACCTCAGCACTCAGAAGCCTGAGGCAAGGAAGACCCTGAGTTCAAAGCTGGGCTTTAGCTATGTAGCTATACACGGTCTCAAAACACACAATAAAGTTGGGCATGGTGGTGCACACCTTTTATCCTAGCACCTGGGAGGCAGAAACAGGTGGATCAATTTCGAGGCCAGCCTAGTTCACAAAGTGAGCTCCAGGACAGCCAGGGCTACACAGAAACCTTGCCTTGAAAACAAACAAAAAACAATAAATGACTACATGGCCTATAATATCAAGAAGAATCCACGTTGCTGCACATGTTAGCAAGTGTTCCACCACTAACACATATCCCCAGCACAACCATAGTTTTATACTAGAGCTATCTAAGATTTTGGACAACAAAAAAAGCAAAGACAAGTCAAATACTGGAGAGATATCTAGCAAATACTCCCTAGTGAGCATAGTTCACCCACAGAGTAACCAGAGGCTCTGGGCCCACATAAATACCAACACTGGAATGTCTGTAGTCTGTACCAATAAACACAAGCATCAGCTCAGTTCTACTATTATTTATTTTTTTAAATATTTTTGAAAAAATATAATTTTTTTACAATATTTTCAACTTAAACACTATTCACACTGAACACGTATGGCAGCTTAACCTACCCAAATATGAAGTTTAAGAAGCCAAAACTGTTCTAGCTTTGTTAAAAGAAAAATTGTGCTGCAGACTATAGTCATGATGGTTAACAAAGCAAGGAAGAGCACCACTCAAAACCATGCTACCATCTTTTTAGTACTTCAATTAGATTATGGGCTGTGTTGGTCCTGTGTTAGACTTCACACATGTATGGCTATGATGCAATGAATCCTTAGAAGACACAAGCCTCAAATTGTATTTCCTCAAGTTCACCGCAGGGAGAACTCAGTATCCCTAACATGATAATGCACCAGGCGAAAGCCAGACTGATCACCAAAGTAACCTCTGTCAGACATTCTGTGTAATGACACTTCCAGTTAACAGACTTTCTTCAGAAAAGGGTATTTTCAATGGACAAATGCAATTGAGAAATCTGCTTAACAATCAGAACCTAACTTAAACTTGCTTATTTACTTATTTTTTGCAAAGTGTAGACATTAAAAAGTATCAATTAATCCTAAGGGACCAGTTTAGCCTCAAAGACAGACAAGTCAGTGAGAGTTGAAGGTTATTTAATTTGGTTCTTTGTCACAATTGACTGGTGCTTCTTCCATTGCTGTCTTTACATTAAGCCATGGGGCCATTCTACTTTCAGTAACTGTGTGACAGCTTCTTACTTCGTAACAGTCTCAGCACTTTTATTAAGCATGCAAGACTAACAAAAACTTTGGCAATGCATAAGTGTAACACAGTGACGAGAGAGCTTTTACAATGAAGTCTTCTAATACTGCCTTCACAGTGTGGAAATTGTGCTACATCCACCAAAAGAGGGCCCCGTCTACTCAAATATGTTAGTACTTCACCCCAGGAACAAACTCCTTTGCATTTGGATTCAGATTGCTCTTGACCTGGAAAATAAGTACATAAGAAGAAGAAAAAAAAAGCAAATTCATTACAGTTGGCTGTGGATTCTCAGAAGCATTCAGCCTAGATCCTAATGTAAAAAATATCTCAGAAAATACGAAAGATTGGACTACAGTTATACCCAAACCCAAAACCTATGGCAGAGAAAGAATGTGATGTAAACTCTATATCCATTTTCTGTTTTGTTTTGTTTTTTGTTTTATATACGTCTTTCTATGTAGTCCTGGCTGGCCTTGAACTCACAGATCCACCAGCCTATGCCTTCCAAGTGCTGGGATTAAAGGCACCATATGAGGCCTCAAATCCTATTATATCAACTTCTAAAGTAGCAGCTGACATTAAGTATAATAAAACCCATTAGCTCCATATAACCTACAATAGCATGGAATAAGGAATTCTGTCAACTGTACTTGATGCTCTGGTAATACTTCCAAACATGTTAAATACATGCTCACAGTTTAACTGGGGCACTGCTGGCTGTTGGATTTTACTTATGACTGTCACTGAAAACTTGGAGGTTATCTTCCTTTTTACAACTGCTGCTTTCTAATTCCCACAGGAGGTACTGGATGTAAAAGGAAAAGAAAGCTACACAGCAGACAGAAGACCCGAGTTTGAAATCACAGCTCTATCTATTTCAAATGCCCGTGTAAGCTTAGACAAGTCATCCACTCGAGACTCCATTTCCACATCAGCTTAAAAACATCAGAAGAGTAGGCCAAAGTCTCTCTGCACTCTAGAGACCTGTACTAGCTTTATTCTGTTCTTCACTTTTACTTTCCTAAGTGTACATGTCAATATAAAGGAAAAAGAGCTGGAAATTCTCTATACTGAGAGTTGGGAGTTGATAAAAAAAAAAAAAAGAAAGAAACCAGGAGATTCCATGGATAAACATAGACATGCAGGTAGGTAGGGGTTTTTTTTTTCTTTTTAAATTGAATTTAATTCCAATGTCATGTATTTTAAGACCAAAACACAATACTAAATAACACATTGGACCAATAACTTAAAATTGAGATAAATATTCTCTAATCCCATAGGGGAAATAAGTCTACATTTAACTAAAGACTAGAATGTTCCAGGCCTGGGCATTACATACACACAAATAAAAACCCTTAAGAAGAAGAAGAGCGAGCATGGTTTAACTGTAAAACCCATAAGTCTTGAATATATAATCTCTGGCAATTAGAAGTCTAAGAATGAATTAAGGTAATTTCGAATAGTCTGAGATAAGCAAATCAGTTTCTATGTTATGGATTTATACAAAATCCAGGTTATACATTAAGCCTAGTAAAGGCCTTTCTTCATAAGAGCATCAATAGTATTTCACATGACATTATGGAGCCATAAGCAGTATGTTGAGATCATAAACCTGTTCAGCTGGGTCACTACAACGAGGACCATACCACAATGTAAATTTCAATGTTTTCTGTATTGTTCTTGTCTGCAGAATGGTTTCCAAAAGCCTGATGGG